TCTACCCTTAATGAAACCAGTTTGGTCAGGGTGTATTATGAAGGGGGTTACCTTCTATAATATTTTTGCCAGGGCTTTACAAATAATTTTTAGATCAACATTAATTAGAGAAATTGGGCGATAGCTGGTAGGAAATGCAGGGTCTTTGCCTGGTTTTAACAAGAGACTGATATTGGCTGAATTCATGTTTGGCTGTAATCTGCTGCTCTCTTCGATTTCCCTCACCATTCTGAAAAATGTTGGAGCCAGAATGATCCAGAATTCTTTGTAGAACTCTGCTGGAAGACCGTCTGGACCTGGAGCTTTCCTATTAGTCATGGATTTAAGGGCTTCCTGGAGCTCAGCTGATGTTAGTGGCGAGTCCAGGACTGTAACTTGGCTGTCTGATAATTTAGGAAGTGTTATCCTGTCAAGGAACTCATTGATCTCGTTATCTGATGGGTTTGTCTGTGGTGAGTACAAAGTTTGGTAAAAGTCTCTGAAAGTGTTGTTTGTGCTTTCAGGGTCATAAACTATATTCTCGTTTTAGTCTTTAACAGCAGATATGGTAGTTTTCTCTTTATTAATTTTTAACTGGCTAGCTAAGAATTTACCTGATTTATTACTATGTTCAAAGTTTTCTATTCATAGTCTTTGTGCTAAAAATTGTGTCTTATTGTCAATAATTCCAAGAAGTTCTAATTTAGCTTTACGTAATTTGCTCAGTAACTCTTCTTCTGTGGATGCCTCTTAAGACTTTATTTCTTTTAACTCCTGAATACGTTTGATTTCAGTTTTTTTCTTATGTGATGAGAAAGAGATTATTTTACCTCTCATCACTGCCTTTCCTGCCTCCCAGAGAATAGATGCTGATGTTCCAGGCAAGTCATTATGTTCTAAATATAAATCCCACTCCTTTAAAAAAAAATCTATGAAACCTTCATCTTTAAGCAATGATGTATTAAACCTCCAGTTTTTTTTGGTGGGATTGTCTTCTTGTTTACCAGAGTTAAAGAAACCAGAGCATGGTCGCTGACAGCTATGGGGTGTATCTCAGTGTCTGAAATGTCAGCCAACAATGAGCTGCTGACTAGAAAATAATCCAAACGTGAATGAGAGTGATGGACGTGTGAGAAAAAAGTATACTCTCTACGGTTAGGATGAAGAGATCGCCATGCATCACAAAGCCCATAGTCACTCATGTACTTCCATGCTATCGTTCTTTTTTAAAACACAGAAACGGTTTCGTTACCTGTTTTTTCGCTACGTTTCGCCTGCGGCTGCAGACTTCCTCAGGCTGACGCTGATGGTGGCGCGTCACGAGCTGGCAGCAGAGGGCGACAATGTCCTCTGCTGCCCGCAGATAAACGGAAAAGGAAGTGACGCGCCACCATCAGAGTCAGCCTGAGGAAGTCTGCAGCCACAGGCGAAACGTAGCGAAAAAACAGGTAACGAAACCGTTTCTGTGTTTTAAAAAAGAACGATAGCATGGAATTAGAAACAAGACACAGCAAGAACACACATAAGACACTCATGTACTGTTTGACTATGTTAGTGGATTGCCAATTGCGCTGAGTCCCAACTGTACTGAGCCTGTCTATTAAAGTGTCCATCCAAAAATTTAAATCACCTCCAAGTTAAGTGGACAGTCCAAGTGTTCGGAGAGTACAGAGAAAAAATTATGAAAGAATGGAGGGTCATCAATATTTGGACAGTATATGCTGACGATAAATAAGCTTTGGTTCTCTAGAGATATTTTTAACATTATAAATCTACCCTCTGGATCTGAAATTGTATCCAATACTGTGAAACTGATGTTTTTGTGTATTAAAATAGCTACACCCCTTTGCCTAGAATTATAGCATGCAGAGAACATGCTGGGAAACTCGGGTGTTTTAAGTTCATCTGCAGATGTGGCAGATCTATGATGTGCTGCTGCTGCTTGATGCCTGGATAGAAGATGCTGCAGCGTAAACAAGAAAGAGACGGGCATAAGATGTCATGCTTTGTTGAGGCAGTGCGATTGGCAGTTCTCACTCCCCGCCGGACCCGGCGGCAGCAGGGCGGTCCCCGCTGCGGCGCCTCCCTCCCGATGTGCCAGACAAATTGAAAATTTGTTACACCCACACGTTCTTCTGATATACGAATATTAAATTCATATTGTATGCCTTCTTAAAACTTGAAACAAAGTTCATAAAAAGCCTGCAATCATACTCCAAAAACCAGAAAAAAAATCTTACATTCTTCATCTTCACAGTGAGGCTCAACAGGTGTAGAAGACAGTCCCGCCCCCGTGGTGTCAACAGGTGCCTGTCGTGGCTGCAGATATTGTCTCATTGCATCTGGACACGACGATTCAAAAGTAAAATTAATTGGTTTAAGTTACATATACTGTATTGTGTATGTAAACAGGTAGCGAGGGTATTGTGTATGTAAACAGCTAGCGAGGGTCCGTCCATGGACTGTGCGTTGCAGGAGAGGCAGTTAGCTACAAAGCTAACGCAAAAAGTTCCTTTGCTAAATTTATAAAGTCTGCATACCTCTGCTTTGGGCCCGTGTTTTTTCTTCCTCCTTCCTTTGCTTTCGGAATGCTGATCCCAACGGGTTGGGTGTTCTTTTCATCGTAAAATATATCAAATGTTTAAACGTGATGACAACACGATGTCCTTCTACAGCGCTAACCACGCACGTGATCTACAGCACCCTTAACGGTCAAAAGCATCGGAGAGGTGGCCCAAGTGGGAGCTCGTCATGCAGCCAGATCATTAGAATTTAAATATTGATGTTTTAATTTCATCTCATTTCAGAGCAGAGGGAAATTTTGAGTATGTAGAGGGTGCATTTCATATTACAAACATAAATTTAATAAACTTTTTTTTTATTCATTCATCCCCTCTGCAGTAAATGTGTATAATGGCTCTGTTACACAATGACACCAATGCAATATTCAGAATGTGTTCAATACTTGTGCACTGATGTACATTAGTATGTCAGTGTGCTTTATGATGCATATTTCTGGAAACCCAAGTTTTTATTTTATTTGTTGATTTTAGTGATAGAAGGTTACAACAATAGCTTATTTTTCTGCTTCTTTTTCTCCACGTGTATGTTTTATTGTAAGGAGTGATTTTCCCCACTGTGGGAATAATAGTCTATTCTATTCTATTCTATTCAAGCGGCTCTGACTGTGCTGCGGGTGGAGAAAAGGCTTTGAACATCTTTGTTAAATAATATCTGTGTTTGTTATCCAATTCCATTATTTGGTTCTTTTCTGAACACAGATATGTTTTTCAGAAATCTCAGAGACTTGGACTAATAAATACCAGGAAAATTTACAGGTACGCATTTTACCCTAGAAAAAAAGTCCCAGTATGATGAAAGGTCAATTTAGAAGTGGTGTCAGGTGATGATGATCAGATTATCAAATCCCGGCAGCCATTGTTTCTTCTTACTCACTCAAACCCACCCTGCATACTCATCATTGCTCAATGTACACTTCGTGTTAACTCAACTGGCCCTAAAACACCACCTTAAACTGGTTCTTCCAAAATGGTCACTTATGGTGCTTTCTCATCTGGGCCAGCATGGACCAGACTGGGTAGCTTTTAAAGTGTCCATATCTAGTTAGTCTTGTAATTTTCTGCACTAAACCAGTCGGTTTTTCGGCCCACATACCAAGGAGGTCTGCTTTGGACTGAACAGGTCCGACACACCCATTACCAGCTGATTGGCCGGTTCAAAAACACGCCTACCGTTAGTGGGAGCCTTCGATTGGCGGATTGAACCAAGCAGCGGGACCTTCTTGCATGCACAATTCATTATCATGGATACTGTTTAGTCAATGTCGCCTTTGACTGAAGCGGCGTCGCTCCTCACTGCTGTGAGGATTACACACACAGAAACACAAAAAGAGATTTAAGCTGCGCAGCCATTGTTTAAGGGAGTCACCGCTGACTTTCTCTGTGCTTTATTTGCCCCAGCCCACTAGCTAGGAGATTTCCCTGTTCATGAGAAGTGAGTGTGAACAAAACCTACTGGTGCAGGACTGGGACAAATGCCACACAGTCCGATCCGTGCTTGCCCAGATGTGAAAGCGCCAATACAGCCCCGATTATTCACATAACGGATTGCTCATTTAGACATGAAGCATGTCATGACTGATGGCAATCACTGAGTGGGCCAGGGTAATGGCAGGCCATTTCCCAGTTCTCTCCATTACCAGTCTGGTTAAGTAACTACTGTTGCTGTATTCCCAACTCTAACCTCAACTAAAAGTTAATTCACACCATACCTCTAAAACCAAATTAGGGTTTCATTCACTGTGATAACCTAGCAAATGTCCTCACAATTTTTAAACGTCCCCATGTTAGAGGTGAAAAATGTGTCCTCACAGCAGATGTAACACACACACACACACACACACACACACACACACACACACACACACACACACACACACGTAGAGAAGATGTTCTTACATTTAATTAGAAACCATAGAATGTGAAATATCATAAAATATGAAATATCACCTTAATGGATCTTTGAGTAAATTTAACCAGAAGATCGGATCTTTTTATTGCAGGGATTGAGCAAGACTTTGTATCAACTCCAAGAAAGAGAGAGAGTCAGGTTTAAAAAGTTAAAAGACTTATTTCTAAACAAATTAAACAAGACTAACTTTAAACACTATGTGATGATGAACTAAGGTGGAGTAAGACTGAGGATGGTGTGTGTGTGTGAAGTATGTTCAGAACCAGCAAATCCGGAGAAACGATTAGTTCTGATGGGAGTGAAATGGTGTTTCGCTCTAAGCTTTTGGTTGGAGGGCAAACTTTCTAGTCAGTCTTCAGCTCATTGAATTTTTCATGTCTTGGTCCAGTGTGCTGGGAAAAAATTTCTTTTTATAATAGGTGTTATTATGCGTCTTTTACTTGGCTGTTTGTCAGGGCTCCTGTTATGTGTTTGAAAACTCAGTTACAGCTGTCGGTAATTCACATCATGCGTTTCTGTGTTTCCTACAGCTTTTCAACAGGTGGTGCTGGTTAAAGAAGAAGCTCTAGAAGAACATAGCGCTGGTGTCAACCAGCAGGACTTAGATTTTCTCCACATAAAGGAGGAACAGGAGAAACTCTGGCACAGTATGGAAGGGGCACATCTCCATATGAAGGAGGAGACTGATGCTGCCAGGTTTCCAGTCACTGTTGCTTCTATAAAGAGTGAGGAAGATGAAGAGAAGCCTCTGTTCTCACAGCTTCATCAGAAGCAAATAGAAGACAGAGATGTTTCAACCAGCGGCTCAGCTGACCAGACGACAGCAGAAACTGGTGGACTAGAAACTAGCCGGAACCCAGATCTGAACCCTCATGAACTGACTCCTGATTCTTCAGAGACTGACGTTGGAGATGATGATGATGATGATGATGATGATGATGATGATGATGATGCAACTCTTGACTCTGAGCTGTCAGACTCTGGGTCTGAAACTGGAGACAGAGACAATGACTGGAATGAGAACAGATGTTCTGAGTCAGATGTTAGGACTGTCAACAAATCCTTTAGTCATAGGACACTTTTAAACAGTCACATGAGAGTCCACACTGGAGAGAGGCCTTTTGCTTGTGAGCTCTGTGGAAAGAAATTTAGCTTAAAGTCAACTTTAAACAGACACACGAGTGTCCACACAGGACAGAAGCCTTTCACCTGTGAGCTCTGTGGAAAAACATTTAGCCAAAAGGGAAGTTTAAACACACACATGAGAGTCCACACAGGAGAGAAGCCCTTTACTTGTGAGCTCTGTGGAAAGAAATTTAGCTTAAAGTCAACTTTAAACAAACACATGAGCGTCCACACAGGAGATAAGCCCTTTGCTTGTGAGCTCTGTGGGAATAGATTTAGTGTAAAGGGACATTTAAACACACACATGAGAGTCCACACAGGAGAGAAGCCCTTTGCTTGTGAGCTCTGTGGACAAAGATTTAGTGAAAAGACACATTTAAACAGACACGTTAGAGTCCACACAGGACAGAAGCCCTTTGCTTGTGAGCTCTGTGGACAAAGATTTAATGTAAAGACAAATTTAAACAGACACATGAGAGTCCACACAGGACAGAAGCCCTTTGCTTGTAAGCTCTGTGGACAAAGATTTAATGTAAAGACAAATTTAAACACACACATGAGAGTCCACACAGGAGAGAAGCCCTTTGCTTGTGAGCTCTGTGGAAAGAAATTTAGCTTAAAGTCAACTTTAAACAATCATCTAAACATCCACTAGGGCTGAACAATATATTGCAGGGGTCTCCAACCCTTATTGGCCTGTGAGCTACTTTTACACAATGAAAGTACAGCAGAGTTACTGCCATATGAGTTCTTATGATGATTGATACTTTCCATGTGTGAATGTGCTTATGTTAAAAATGCTATACTTACTTTATTAACATGCATTGTACTCACAAGTTGATTTCTCTTTATTTCAGTATATCAATATTTTTTGTGTGTAAATAAACAAGTGACATTCTGAAAACCAAATTAAACAAAACATATTTAGTTTTTTTAACTAATCAAATACTTCCAGATAATGAATAACAAATCTACTTCATGTGAATGATTTGGTAATTTTTTTAGAGGGTTGGTAACATAAGTTTTTGAGCACGCAGGAACAGCTAACCTGTAAAGCTGATGCTATTTTAAATAAAATACAAGCTAAATGTGATGAAAACACAAAAATCTAAATAGTCTGAATTGAAATAAAAAATGTAAAATCAGAAATAAGACTTGTTCCTGCTCTCCTGATTAACAGAATAATTTTTTTGGGTTTTTTTGGTAATGAAAGTTAAGTTTTGCTGCATTTATTGCTGACAATATGAAGGTTGGAGGTTTATCCATTTTTTCTGCATCTTGTAGGTTTTTTTTTCTCCACAGGTCTGAAAACTAATTAAACTCGTCGTCTTCCTCCGCTTATCCGGGTCCGGGTCGCGGGGGCAGCATCCCAACTAGGGAGCTCCAGACCGCCCTCTCCCCACCTCCACCAGTTCCTCCGGCAGGACCCCAACGCGTTCCTGGACCAGATTGGAGATGTAACCTCTCCAACGTGTCCTGGGTCGACCCGGGGGCCTCCTGCTGGCAGGACATGCCCGAAACACCTCCCCAGGGAGGCGTCCAGGAGGCATCCTGACCAGATGCCCAAACCACCTTAACTGACTCCTTTCGATCCGGAGGAGCAGCGGTTCTACTCCGAGTCCCTCCTGAATGTCTGAGCTCTTCACCCTATCTCGGCAACTTCCACTGCTGCACCCTGCTTGGCTATCCGCTACCCGTCTGCTGCCTCCGTAGACCCACAGACCAGCCACGCCCTGTAGGCCTCCTTCTTCAGCCTGACGGCTCCCCGAAACTCTGGTGTCCACCAGCGGGTACGGGGGTTGCCACCATGACTGGCACCGGCCACCTTGCGACCACAGCTAGCAACAGCCGCCTCAACAATCGCAGAGTGGAACAAAGCCCACTCGGAGTCTATGTCCCCGACTGCTCTCGGGATGCGGTCAAAGCTCTGCCAGAGGTGGGAGTTGAAGACCGTCTTGACAGGTTCTTCTGCCAATCATTTCCAGCAGACCCTCACTATGCGTTTGGGTCTGCCAGGTCTACGCGGCATCTTCCCCTGCCATCTGATCCAACTCACCACCAGGTGGTGATCAGTTGACTGCTCCGCTCCTCTCTTCACTCGGGTGTCCAAAACATACGGCCGCAGGTCAGATGATATGACTACAAAGACCCTCACGCTCCATTTCCTCAACACTGCCACCCACATCCTATCCAACACCTCTCTCAATTTCTCACATTCAAAAAATACATGCATAATGGTCTCACGCTCTCTCAAACATACCTTGCACCGTGGATCTACTGCATTACTAAACCGACTGATTTTACTATTACTATACAAAATATTACTTCTAAGTCTATAGTCCAAACTCTCACACCCCACATCATTTCTTTTAACATTTAGAGTCTTCCAAATCTGTGTAACCTGCCCATTCTTAAAATACCCCTCCCAAAAGGCTTCTGCTGCGGTCTTTTCCAAATTTCCTGCACAAATAACTTGTAATTAATTAATGGATTAATTGCCCATTCAGCCTCAAAAGACAGAACAGTTTCTCAAAATCACCATGGTGCACACTCAACTGCGGCATGCTATAGGCCCTTTTAGAAACACTTTGAGACATTATCTTCTCATACCAATCCTTCGGCAATGAACTCTTAAGCAATGCCAGATAATTCTGAACAGTAACAATGCTTAAATCCTCATCATACTCTCTCATCTGCTCAATCGGAAAACCGTCATTTATAAAACCGGGCGTGTATTCCTTCACCAATTCCTTAATCTGCTTAATGCCTGCCAGGAAGAATGATTTACTAAAACAAAATTTTCCATCAATTGTTAAAAACTTATTCAAAAACAGTGGTTGATTATAAATCTGTTTCAAATCTTTACACTCATATGTTAAATGTTTCAAAAAGTCTGACCATGCCTCAAAGAATTCCAAATAATATTCTGGCATGCCTTTCATCATATCCTTCTTACCACTCAATTCCATAAATAATCCATCATCACCACACCCCGTCAGCCTCATCAAAATATACCTAAAAAATAATCACAAACATAATTGTTATCAAATAAATACTTTTGTAAATATTTGACCCTCATTGCTTTCAATCTTGACCTAATGTCCACCAATCGTTGCCCTCCCTCCTCGTAATCAGCAATCAATGTATTATAAGCAATTTCCACTTTTCCACCCCACAAAAACATTTCCTCCATTTTTTTCAATTCTATCTCAGTCCATACTGGCAAGTCCAACATATTCATCACATAATTCATTCTAGAAAACACCAAAGCATTGAGAACCACCACTCTGCCTTTGATATTTCAACTCCTACCCTTCCATACAGCCAATATTTGTCTTATCTTGTTAATCACACTTCCCTAAGCCAAGTCCCTCGCCTCACCTGCATCCTCCCCAAACACTATTCCCATTATGTGAATATTCTGATTTCTCCTCTCAAACTCCAATTTACATGGAACGTTCTTTTGATCACCAAACTGCATAATGCACGATTTTTTTATATTAATCTTAGCCCCTGATGCCCTGCCATACAGGTCAAAAGCCTTCATCACTTCATCTATGCCTTCCATGTCCTTAACAGTAATTGTTGTGTCAACTGCAAATTGATGAATCACACTCATTGCTCCACCTGGTGCAGTTATTGGCACTATCCGGGTCCTGGACCTAAACATACAGCCAAAAGGCTCCGCAACTAATGAATATAGCAAAGGTGAGAGCAGACATTCTTGTCTAACCGATCTGTCCAAAGAAAACTCATCTGTCACAAACCCGTTCACCTTCACGCAACTTGACGCATGCCCATATAAAAGTTTAATCCAACCCACAAAACTACTACCAAATCCCATTTTCTCCAATAGTGAAAAAAAAAACCAACCCATGGTCCACTCTGTCAAAGGCCTTATCCATATCCAAATTCAACACCACTCCCCCACCTTCCACCACACTCAGAAAGTGTATAACATCCCTTATTGAAGCAGTGCTGAATGCAATATTTCTACCAGGAACCGCAGCCGACTGAAGTTGAGACTACAGAACCTATGACACGCTTCAGCCTGATCGCCAGTACCTTCGCAAGGATCTTATAATCAGTGTTCAACAGTGTCAACGGCCTATAATTCTGTAGGTGCAATTTGCTCCCCTTATTCTTATATAATAAAATAATCAGTCCCAATGCCATATCCTTTCCCATAGTCCCCTCCATTTGCATATAACGAAAAAGATTGCACAAGACTGGGGCCAGTAAAAACTTGAATTCCTTGTAAAATTCATGGGTCAAACCGTCAATTCCAGGGCTCTTCTTTGTCGACAACCCATCAATCGCATATAAAATCTCATCTACCGTAATCTCCACGTCACACATCCTTTTATCATCACCAGATACTTTAGACGTAACACTATCCAATGCAATGTCAAGGCAAGTCCTATCGATCACTTCCCTCTTGAAAAATTCTCTATAAAACTGATCAATAATCTCCACCACCCCCACAAAATCCCTCACTATTAAACCCTGACCATTCATAAGCTCCCTAGTACACAACTTCTGTTGTTTCGCTTTTTCCAGGTTAAGGAAGAAAGATGTAGGTTTCTCACCTTCAACGTTATACTGTGCTTTACTCCGTATTATCTGACCTTTCCATACATCCCTCCCCACTCTAGATAATTCCCCCTTCGAAGCAAAAAAAAAAAGCAACTTATCCCTGTCCAGATCCTTCTCCATCTACACCAACTCTTTTTCCATGTCACGTTCCAACTTACAGATCTGTAACCGGCCCTTAAAACACCGCTGTTTAGCAAACCTTTTACTCTTCAACTTAAAAATCCTTTTTAAATTAATCCACCATTCACATAAGTCCAAATTATCAACATAGGCCGTACTACCATTCAGCAATTTCATCATCATCACCTCATACGTTCGTTCACTCAACACTTTTCCATTCAAAATCCATGTACCACCACTCCTCATGCTCACACCCTCACCCAGTTCACAAATTAAAGCAGCGTGATCCCCATAATGTTTAAAACGGTAATGGCAATTACTGATATTTGCCATCACCTCACTCCCCACCAGGCATAAGTCAATACGACTCTACCTTAGCTCCTGCTGTAATATAACCCTTCTCGAGAACACATGGGTTAAAGGATTTTCAGCCCTCCATATATCCATCAGACCCTTCCTAAGCGTAATCCGTTTCAAAATATCCCTAGAAGAGTCCCACCTCAGTGTCGTCCCCTCCATGATGTTGAGGGTCTCACCTCATGAGGAAATTACTATGCAGTGATTTTCTCCAAAATGACTGTGCTTAAATTGCTCTGAAAAGCAAATAATCACATCAGCGCCAAGAAACTTCATTTCCCATGATGCTTTGCACACGGAAGCATTGTGATGACGTCACCGCCTAGTACCAGAAACACGTTCTGCGCATGTGCGGGAAGCCGTGGAGCTTTTCCCGCGAACTAAGACCATAAATCTTCAGCAGAGACAAAGAAACCTTGTTCTTTTGCCCAGGATACCTGGCGGTAAGGACACGCTTGTCAACGCTCCGACAACTTGAGCACGCGGAAGCTCTAAGTGCCAAGTTGAGCCACGCAACCGCTGGAAACTACACTCAACTCCATCGGGACCTGACTGGGAACGAGCGGAGCTCCATTCAGCTCTCAGAGACGCTCCGTGGAGAAACACTCGTGGAGCCAAACAACGGAGAAAGCATTAAACCGACGGATGACGCTGAAAACTGCGGAGAAAACGGAGAACCGTCAAATCATAACAGCGGGGACGCCTTGCTGCTTTGGTGATCAGAAAACTCATTTTTTTCTCTCTCCTTTTCTTCTCCCGTTTCCTCTATAGTCCAGAATAAGCAATAAAACCGCGCTATTGCTTAAAAAGTAGCTTCGTGTTTTCCTCTTTCGCTCCCAATTCGTCCTTCGGGTCATTTTGAAAGAATAAACTGCTTATTGATCATCGCTAATATCTTTAGTCGTCAGCTCTGGCCAGGCTGCCGACTCCTTTTAGATTAAATAATTTACAAGTGACCCTTTTGTTGTTTGTTAACTTTTGAAGTGTTTGAGTTAAGTTTTACTGTGATTCTAAGCCACTAAGTGTTCGGGAAAGTAGGAAACTTTACACATCCAGGTCTCCTGTTGAATGCGAGGGGA